ACAGGAAAAAATGTATCAAGTTACATTTGAACAAGCACTTAAAAGACAACAAACACACAGTCATGTACAAACTGTTACTGACCTTCCTCTTTAGAAGCAGGTGAGGGGTAGATGTGGTGACTGGCGAGCGTTCGGTCCTCAGTGAGCGTACCCTGTGTAAGAACAAACTGTTACCCTGTTGCACTTATATCGAACTACATTATGAGAGCTTTGCTTAGTTTCATATGTTTCTGTCTAAGAATACAGCAAGCTATAAACCTTTTCTCCTACATCAGTCTGGCTTACGCTCTTGTCTGCTCATAATTAACTCCCCTCTGCAGCACTTTACCTGGTGTTTGGCGATCACATCTGTAAGTCTGCTAACCAGCTCCTGGTCCAGCGTAGGGTCCACATACACCACAGGCAGTGACATACCATTGTTCTGTAGACGCATACAAAACAATTAGTTCATTAGTGGTCCCCGTTAGGCTGATAGTTGTGTGTGTTTGTGTCTGTGTGTATTAATGTGTGTGTCTGTGTCACCTGGATCAGTGATATTCCAATGGCACCAAACATCTCAACATTCCTTTCAGTTCTTGATGGATTCTGCAAGTCAAACCTACGCCTGTAAAAAGATGTAAGGGAAGAGATTACATTTAAATAACATTTCTGGTGAAAAAAGGCAATGTTTGGCATGTCACTCACCAGCCTTGCTCTGCCTTAAACTTGTAGGCAGTGCCAAGAATGTGGCAGAGTCCACCCGCTGGTCGCAGGTCCAGGAAGCTTTTTGCCTGCAGGGAAATGGTCAAATTAACAGCTGATTTTTTTTACTGGATGTCTTTAAGCTATCTTGCAAGATTATTTGTCACATAACTATTTTCCCATTTAAATTGAAAGAAGCTTTGAGATTTAGTGTGTTATTGTATCCTTTATTATGCTAATACTTCAAGACTTTTAAAATGTGTCATATTATACACAGTACAATGTATAGTGAAAATATTTTGTGCCTTGCTCCAGAAAGACGAGAAAGCAATGTTCAACTAGCCTTAAAAAGGCAGAATGAATGCAGAATTTTATTTATATTGTAGTTAAACAAATGTATATACCCAATTCCCAATACATTTCATTATACATTGTGATGCAATTATATAATTATCTCTACCCCTGCAAAAACACTATATTAACTCAACATTAATCATAAAGGATTGAAACTTTGGAAATTACTAACAACAACACAATTAGGTATTGCAGATTTAGATTACTCGGACTGAATTATGACAATTATTTCAATGACAGAGAGAGAGGGACTCACAGGCAGTTTGGTGAGAACAGGGCTGGTCGCTTGTCTGCCAAACGCATCCTCTTGGAACTGGAGGAGCTGCAGGGTGACTGCAGCCAGAGCCTGACACGAAGGGGCATCCACCAGCACATACTGACACACACACAAATATTGAAAGTGATATGACAAGGACAATTATTCGTTAAAATGCTTCAATGCAACCTACTGCTTTCTACGATAGTCTAGCCAGTTTACTGTTGTATTTATACTGTTTTTCCTCTAGGATTTGGCTACATTTACACGTCATCTTTTGCATGCATTATTGTAAATAGATGAAGCACTTATTAACTTTATCACACACATCCTGCTGGGCAGTATAAACGTAACGTTATGCAGCATGAGACGTTTGTTTACAGTCTGAGCCATTGGACAAGCTAGCAGGGGGCGGCTAGCTTTTAGCTTCCTAACCAGCTAGCTACCTTTTTGTAGTGCTTCCCGATCCACTGTCGCACCACCTCCAGCTGGGCTAAAGTCTCCGGACTCTCCCAGAACCTAGCGGACGGACTGCTGTCTTTTTTACGGTGTGCGGAAGTTCCGGAGCTGGCTAGTCTTGCCCCGGGAATGCCGAGGTTTGTTGCTCCGGACATTGTGGCCATAATAAAAACGAGATAAATCTCTATTACGGAAGAACAAAACTGGCTAGCGCGCCTGCTAGCTTTTGCGTTCTCGATTTATCTCGCGAGACGCAGCGAGATTGTGGCTGTTCGGCATGGTTTCCTATTTTTGAATAATTAAATGTATTTCATTTTCACGTTGTTGTTTTTTTAACTTAATTGAGCCCGTTTTGATTCAGAATCAGCAGTCATCGTCTTACTGTACTTTTTTAATGAAGAATACACGCCTTTGTTACACACCAAGGGAGCTTTATTTTGAAGTACAACATAACAAGGAAATAAGTACGCAAGACATGTAAACAGAAGTGAAGCAATTTGACATTGGTAAGTTACAGCTTGTATGTTGCAATGCTCTCGTTCCAAGATTGATTTTCTAACACTTGTTTGGAAATGTCCGGCATTTTGTTTATTATCTGCATTGTTTTGTTGCAGTACTTTCCGTTTTGTGTTGAATCGAACCTCATAATGCCTTTGAAAAACATATTTCCAGCTGTCTGTCGATCACATGATTTTGTTCCGTCGCATTCAAACCGCAGACTCCATACACCCTCAGACCAGACAGGCTACAATACTCTGCGTGGCACTGAATCACCAGCAGTGAGTAACAGCTTCTCCCTCCATGTCTTCCTAGGCCCTGAGACCCCATGGGTGTACATGGTCTGACCACCTATGTGGAGGGCAACAGAAACTTTCTCCAAGATGTGAAGTTCAGGGACAGCCGCCTGGTTATTGATGGCTGCAGCCTGTTTTTCCGCCTCTACTTTAACTATGGTTTGGACCAGCAGCACGGAGGGGACTATGATGCATTTACTTGCCTGCTCTCCCAGTTCCTCTCTGCATTGGAGGCCTGTAACATCCAGCCATATGTGGTTCTGGATGGAGGTAAGGATGCACTCAGGTCATTCTTATAGGAAACTCAAGTATCATTACATGCATATTTAAATGACAGGATATTGTGGGATGCTCAGTCAAAGCATCATGCTCATTTTAGTTTAAAATAGGTCAACAAGTTATTTTGAACCTGCTCCAATAATAGTTTTTTCTTCAGTTGACACACCCATACACATTTAATTTAATTTCTTTGTTGTAATAAGGAATTGACCCCAGTGACAAGAAGTTTCCTACGCTGCGCCAGCGTCTGCAGTCCAAGATAAAAGAGGCAGACAGTCTCTCCCACGGCCGCAATGGCTCTGTCCTCCCCCTCCTCACAAGAAGTGTCTTCATTGAAGTCCTCATTCAGAGAGGGGTCCCTTTGGTCCAGTGTCCAGCCGAGGCGGACTGGGATATTGCATGTTTGGCTCACCAGTGGAAATGTCCAGTCCTGACCAATGACAGCGACTTTTATATCTTTGACTTGCCAGGTATGGGTAGCAACAGGATTCTTGTAGCTTAACAAAATCAAAAAGACCATTGTAATAAATGGTAGTGATAGTATCTCACTTGATGTTTCGCTGTTGTTTCACATGTTGTTGTTGTTTCCCTAGGTGGTTATCTTCCACTCCATTATTTCCAGTGGACCAACCTGAACGGTAAAGCCTCTCACCGCTACATCTCGGCTCGTTGCTACACCACTACCGGGATCTGTCGCTTGTATGGGGGCATGAACCAGCAGTTGCTACCCTTATTTGCTGTCCTGGTGGGGAATGATTATGGCACTCCAAAAGATGCTGATGCACTCCTGGGTCTGTTAGATGCGGGTGTCTTAGTGAAAGGTGGTGGCAGGGGCAAAGGTAGAGCACCCGCTTCCCGCATTGAGGGCCTTCTCCTCTGGCTGTCTTCTTTTTCTAGTCCGGGGGAGGCCCTGGAGGAAGTGAGCAGGCTAATGGGGGAGAAAGATAGAGGACCAAGGGGAAAAAGCAGAGAGAAAGGTGGGCTCAGTTCACAGCTGTGGGCAGGAATGCAAGAGTACCACATCACGCCTCAAAGCTCTTTGGCTGGCTGGTTCTCTGGAGGTAAGACAGCTCCTGAACGACCGTCCTCTGGGATGCCAGAGTGCTTGTCGATGGCTGCAGCGCAGGGAATGTTAGCTCCTTTGGTGGTAGATGCTATTGTGATGCGCAGGGTCCTTCTGATCCCACAGGTTGAGAACAGCAAGCTAGCCAGCAGCCATTGCAGTGCAAGCAACATACGCCAGGCTATATATGGGATATTAATGCAGAGAGGCCAAGATGTCCAAGCAGAGGATATGACGGCACAAGAAAAAATCAACCAAGGTACGAGAGGTGGGAGAGGGGCAAGGGGGCAGAGAGGTGGTCAGGTCGGCGGAGGTAGGGGACAGGGAGACATCTTACCCACACAACAGGGGGTAAATGTAGGGTTTAGCAATAGTGCAGCTACAGTGCACGCTCAGGGCTCTAGTTCCCCGATGTGTGTCGAAGAGTATGACCGCGTGGATCTGAACTTAAAGAAAAACATTCTAGAGGCACATCGGCTCAGGACCCCCCTGCATCTAGATACACTTGGCCAGGTAAACATGACAACAAAAATAATGTTTTCTTGTTGAACTTGTTGTTTTTAAAGAAAATTGTTAATGTGATTTATTAAACCTTTCCTATTTATCCCGTAATTGTTTATCCAGGCTCCTGTGGCGGTTCGCCTTGGTGTACTGTTAGATGTCTTGGGGATAAAAGAGTCTGTCCTGGCTCCTGTTCCTCTCCACCTGAGGCTGGCTGTAGCAGTGATAGCTTTCTGGCGTCGAGTGGCCTCACCAAAACCCTCACAGCCCCAGGTGCAGGCTCTGGTGCTGGGCATGATTTACGGAGAGCTGTCCTCGAACAACCAGCCTGGAGCTACCCACTACCCACAAGCCAGTTAGTTGTGTTGTATATTTTTTACTATCACACCAGGTTACAAAAACTGACATGTCATGTAATAACAAGGCAAACAGCATGCATACACAACTGGCATTTAAAAAAACAACAAAAAATATTAAAAAAGGAAAGAATGCAACATCTTCTTTTTTTTAGGATATAAAAACATGTTGCTATGTGTCATCTTAGACCCACAGCTAAACTGGGCTGCGGAGCGTCAAGTGTGCGCAGGGCTGGATCGGCAGCGTGTGAGGCCAGGGGAGCGACGTGGATTGGATGTTGGAGCGGCTCACAGTTTTAGCCAATGGCAGGCCTGCCTCTGGAGTGCACTGTGTCTTAATCAGCTGTTGCTGCTGCCACTGCCTGAACCCCACATATCATGGTAAGGCACAATGAGAGATTGCATTACATTGCCCACCAATGAAAACCAGAGCTGCAACTAATGTGCTTTTTCTTTAATAATTCAGTCTATAAACTGTAGCAAATATTTACACATTGCCACATTTGTCATTTTCATCATAATTGTCTTGAAAGACACCACGTCCAGGACAGTTGAGGCATTTGCACTTATAGTTGTATGCCCAAATTACAATTACATTTTCTCACCTGTGTGATCTGGCCATGCAGCTAGTTTTGGTTTTATTTGCAGAGGTATGTTTCCCTGGAGATGTTTTTAAGGGCCCTTATTGTGATTGAATTCTGTTGGTGCAGATTTATACATTGAAATATACTGAAAAGAAATGAAGAATAATTTAGAACCCTGTTATAAAACAGTACCTTGCTAAAGGGTTTTTTTATCGTATTTTTCGATAGAAATATATATTTGTAATCCTATTCACTTCATCTGTATCAGGTTGGACCTATGGTAAAACAAAACATTTTAGCAGATACCACCATGTGGAAAACAAAATGTAATTGGATTCCTTCTCTCCCTCTGTGTGTGTTACAGGTTGTACAGTGGTACTCTGGTGCACGGCCTGCTCAGGTACCTGAAAGGGGGCCAGGCTGCTGAATCCCTCCTAGCTGGGGGTTCCTTTTCAGTTCATCTTTACTCCTCCCTGCTGGACGCTGTGAGGAGCCGCGACTCCAAAACCCATCCTTCCTCTTCAGCAGCAGGGAGGGGGAAGAGGGGTGGAGGCCGGGGAATGAGAGAGAGAGGGAGAGGAAGAGGGAGAGGGGGGAGAAGAGGAAGGGGAGGGGGGAGAGGGTCTGAGGAGATAAACAACAGGTTTGCCCTACTGATGAGCGAGGATGAGTCTGATGACGATTGATGAGGAGAAAAATGTACTGATCGATATTAAGCAGTTGTTTTGGGCCAAATAGGGGAGGATATTCCAGTGTTTTATTCAGCGACACATCTTAATATTGACCACTGAGCTTCTGCCTATGTAATCATGTTGCATTTAATTAACTTCGTCACTAATGTTTATCTGCCTATCTTCTGTTGCTGACTCAAATGAAAAGATGTCCATCAAGCAAAATGTCTTTTCCCCAAGCATACTCTTGCCATATTTTACGAGAGCTTTATTAAAGTAATGTCACTGTAATTAATGCACGTTTTTAATGTGACAGTTTTTATTAAATTCTAATCTAATCTAATTAAAAAAAGTACATTTACATTTTATCATCTGTTGACCACAAAGGAGTATGGCAGCTAATGTCATTTTAAGGAGCAACTTGTAAAATCTAACTTTAACACAGATGCCTTTATACTCGTGAATTTGGTGCTTGACTTACTTATCTTTCTATAATAAAAAATATAAATCAAACTTATGAAGATGTTGTTGTTTTTTCAAAATGATAATAAGTCTGTGCATTATAACTATGATACCAATTGTTCATTATATCCATGATTATATCGCATTCACAATCGAAATATACCACTTTTTATGCAAGCCCTACGAGGATGTTCACATGAGTAAGAGCTGACAGGCCTTGCATATTAAAATCAACTCCATTGTTGATTGACGGCCTAAAGTGTAAGGGAAACTTCTGTAGCAATGGAGAGTCAGGACTCAGAGAGACACGAGGAGAGTTGGAGCTTCGATGTCAAACACTGGTGGTTTATTACGAGTATCGGCCGGAGGATTCACATCACAACTCACACAGCCAGAGGTTCTGACTGCACGGGAGAGTTGCCACATCAATTCTGAAGCGCCTCTCTCTCGCTAGACCTTTTAACAGGTTCACAGAGAGTAATCAACATAGTAAAGGAGATAACCTAAACATCTGGGAACACTAGAGATGGCCTAAACATCTGGGAACACTGAATCAAATGTCTGACCCTTATGGCCTCGAAGCCAGCGTTCTCACAACCATAAACCATTTGTGACCGAGAGTTGCCCGGTCATAAACTGGGAACAACAACATATCGCTGAAGCAGCACATTCCTTAAGGGAGATAACAGACGTCGGTTGGTCATAAACGTCAAAGGGCAAAAAGGTTAGACGTCCAGGAGTCCAGGAGAATGATTCCCTAACATAAAGTGTCATCAAAAGTCACAACTTAAAATATAAATGAATCTTCCTCTTGTCCTACGAGGATGATGAGGTTGAAGCAGACGGAGAGGTAGAGGCAGCAGCTGCAGCGTGTGGCTGAGAGTCTATGAGGTCCATGTCTTCGTCTTCGTTGACTCCACAGGTGTCGACCACACAGACCAGGCAACTGGTGACGGGAAACGCTCGCACCTTGCTGCAAGACACCCATCTGAACACACAATAAAACTGACTTAGAGGGTTTGAAATGTCAAAAAATATAGAGGAAAATATGATTCAGGGTTTAGAGTCATAAGTAGAATATCTACTTATTTATTTGCGTAATATTTAGTGAATGCACTGACCTGTCGGTTTCAGTGTGGTACTCCAGGACGTGTCCGAGCCGCCCCACACCTTGAAACCCTGCCAGCACATAGATGATGTCACCGACCACTGCACACTTCACTGTTATACCTCGCCACGGCATCGGCGAGGCGGCACGCCACTCATTAGTGGCTATGTCGTAGTATTCCACCGAGTCAAGTCCACCTGTAAAGAAAACACAAAAACTCCATCATTCAGAGGCCACATATGCTACAACTACTATTTCAAATAGTAGTATAACATAATTATGATAACGTGTTTGTACCCAGTGCCCCCTGCCCTCCAACAGCATAGATCCTGCCGTTGACCGCCACCAGCCCATGGTTCTTCCTGACCTCTCTCATCTCGCACAGCTCCCTCCATCTGAGGACAGAAGGTTGGAGACAGACACAGGGACAAATATGGGTTTAAGGAAGAGTGTAACAGAGAACAACATTACCTGATTCGAGCCCTTTAGGGTGCATGTGCATATTATTATTATTGTGAGGTACAAACTTTGAAACTCAAGTTTCTTTCTAATAAAATGAATAGTTTTGACTGGCATGTCTCCCTGCTTTTTTTGTGGAGAAGCTTCTTTGACCTCCTGGCCTGATACAATCTTTTAAAAGCACATTAGTCAAAATAAAAATGTTGTTCTTGTCAATTTGAACTGGTGGCTGTTCTACTGAGACTTTGGGATTCTCACCAAACAAAATCGATTTGATATTGTTATGCATATACTTTTCCTCCGTTTTGCTGTATAATTCTGAATCATTTTTGTGTGACTCACTTTTGAGTGCTGGGGTCGTAAACCTCACAGTTATTGAGGACCCTGCCAGATATGTTGTTGCCCACCGTGCCTCCACAAACGTATATGAGCCCGTTGGCCTCCACTGAGCCGTGGCTGCAGCGAGCCAACAGCATGCTGGTTTTCACCTGCCATGACTCGGTTCTTGTGTCGTAGCATTCGAAAAGGTCCAGGGCAGAGCTGCCTGTGGACACACACATGGATCATGGTTAAATCCTTTCATAAGGGATGACTTTCTACTATGGAGAATTCTCAATGTCCACTATCCCCAACACAGTCAGTAAACACACAAAGCATCCAAATTCCCAGGTTTCAAGTCCACCACTTCGACCCGCCTGTACTCACCCACTTCTGACCCCCCAGACGTGTAGATCTTGCCCTGTGAGGCACAGGCAGCCAGGCTGTCACGAGGCGTGGGCGGCCCCAGCTTGGAGTACCAGCTGTCCTTTAGGACGTTGTAGCAGTCCATGCGCTTGATGGGGAAGAGCTGTGAGCCCCCCAGGATGTAGACCACGTTGTCCCAGAAAATAGCTGTGGCATCGCGCCGCTTCTCGAAGGGGCAGCGGATGTCTGTCCATGAGGAATCCTGCATTAAAAGCCAGATTAGAAATTAAACAGTGTAAACTTTTATTTCCATTGCCCTAACTATATACAATGTTAAAGCTGTAATGCTTGTTTTTGAAGTATTTGGTCTGATTAAAATGAAATGTACTCTTGAATTATGTAAGATGTCAATTACAAAAACTCAAAGTCTTGGTTCTGAAATTGAAAAATGTACCGAACAAAAGAATATAAACCTAAAATACATGTACTGCCTTGGTACCTTGGGGTTGAAGTAGCGGCAGGATTGAGGCTGGGAGCCCCCGAACAGAGCGATTCGGTAGTCGTGCTTCTTGCGTCTCGGTCGGCTGCTCTCTCCCAGATCCTCCCGGTCCTCCAGGGACAGCAGGTGGTAGCGCATCCCACCTGGGACAAAGGCGTCAGGGGTTTTATTGTTGGTGTGTGTACGTTTTGATATGCTCTTTTGAATCAGAATCTTAAATATGAGATAATTTAAGACATTAACTCAGGGTTGGGGATACTGGTGGGTTAACACCATCTTTGGTGGTGGCACACATTTTAAACATTTGCAAGAGCCCTGCCAAAAACTCAGAATTTTACTCTCAATAATAATACATATTTTATCTTTCACTACTATAATAGAGTATGTCGAGATGGGTTGCATCCAGTGTAATGTAATTTTTCTAGACCTAGTAGACGATGTGACCCTTTACTTATTACACCAATATTTGTGCGCCCCTTTTTTAGAATAAGCTACAAACCTATTGTTGTTACATTATTGTTACTAAGCTTACACTTTTATCCAAAGCGACTTGATTGTACGTTTAGCAAATTAACCACCTAAACCATAGTCTATTACCTAAACAGTCTATTGTGTGTAAAAATGTGTGTGTTTCTCTCTCTTCCTACTTACTGATGACCATCTTGAGACACTGTGGGTTGTCCTGGATGAGGGGCTCAGCCTGCACCGTCTTTGAGAGGAAGGTTTTGGAGACCAGAGGAAAGCGAACACACCCCAACACTTCCACCATGTACTGCTGTCTGTTACACACATCGTACTTCAGCCATCGTACTGCTGCGTCATATATCTGAACACCAATTCAAAAAACAGCAACATACAGATTATTGCTGGCATTGTTTTTGCAAGAGCTATGAGTCATCTTTGTCATGATGTGTTGAAACCATATTTGTTTGGTTTTCCAAGTTGTTCTTTGGATAATTAGAATGTATTGCCTTTTTTTTTTTTAAATGTTGTTAGGGACTTATTATTTTGCACTAAAGATAGCCAACAAAGGTACATCTATATCAACAACTATGATATGTTTGAAAAAAAAAAAAACATATTCCTAAAAATAATAGCACAAAAGATATGAATTCAAAGGATGTGTAGAAGTGTACCTGGGCCTCAGCTCGGATAGTGAGCTTGTCCTGGTGCAGTAAGTGTGTGAGCTGTTTAACGTCCAATTGCAGAAACTCATCCAGTTTGTAGACTTCAGTAAAGTGGAGCTCAAAGAAGTCGTCTGCTGCAGCCTTCAGGTCAGGACAGTCCATACAGTCTGCCAAGGAGGAAATACCTGCAGGAGGACAAGACAAGGACCAATCACTCCAGAGTAACATGATGGGGCAGGACGCAACAAAACACATGTGTAGGACAGATAACTTTAATTCTACTTTTCTAGAAAAAGCAGCTGGAAGTGTGCACCTTAGTAATATAAGTGGTATTGATAATTGATGCTGGGGAGTCCATAGATAAAGCATCAAAGGGCTCAGCAAATGTTGAGGTCACAAACGATGATATGTGATTTCACCTTGATTGTATTTACGTTCTTACCAAGGCAGTTTGTTGCATCAATTTGTCCTTTGAGGAACTCCACACACATCTTCTTCACAGGCTCAATCTGGTACTGGTTGGCTGCATCCAGCAATGACTGGACGTTACTGCTGTTCACAGAGATCCTGGCACACACACACAAACTTCATCATTAAAGTGATGCATGTGGCTGTTTTGAAAGCAGTTATGATTAGCATCACCAGAGGCCTGTACTACGAAGCCGGTTCAACCTAAGCTGGATATGTTTGAGTTACCCGGCTTACCTAATCCAAAACAAACGCGCTCTCGCTAAGCTGTCCTACAACGCTGGTTATCAACTCGTCAATCTAGTTAGGTACGCGTTCACATGAAAGGGGTGGTATTTGGAGCATTCGACTAATCAAAAAACATGGACAAGCGTACTGATAGCGCAGCGCGTTATACTTCCTGAATGAAAAGTCAACTATAATTAAACAAATATGAAGACGTTAAAATCTTTAAACATCTATGACTTAAACACTTTCTCCAGGATAAAAGCCACATAGTTGCACCTGCAAGGTGAATACAGCTGGTATAACAAAAAGTGTTTGAATGCGTACATTAACAGGTTTATGATATCACTGCCCCGTCTAAGACACGATCTGACTTTAATTACATTTGACTCGAGTGTTTCGTCAACTTAATGTGTTGCTTAAAATAATACTTCTGCATACAGTATGTGACACTGTAAGTGTTGTGCAACACTTACAGTGTCACATACTGTATGCAGAAGTATTATTTTAAGCAACACATTAAGTTGACGAAACACTCGAGTCAAATGTAATTAAAGTCAGATCGTGNCGGCGGTCATACGATGGCTTATGATGCCCCTCACGAATGCCCCGATGTGTTACGATCAGAGCCGAATTTGAACATTTCCTTTATCGTGTGTCCATCTGGTGTCAAATTTCGGGACAGTGTGAAGGGCGCGTTCTCTGAGACCTGCCTTTACTTGGGCCAACTGTATTACCAATGTTCACCGAACTGGAGCCTGTCCTAACTTCTTCCTTTTTTATCTTAAAACGTGGTTTGAACCTGGACAGAAAAGGAGTCTTAAAATGAATAAATACAATCCCTTTCTAATCCAATACTCAATGTATCCCACATATTTCTCGTTCCTACGACCGCTACGACAGAAACAACAACACTAACTGTGGCGCTCACCTA